AGCCTTCTCTTTAGATTCCTGGAGCACCTGAAAACCCAGAACCTCAGGATGGAAGGGGTAGAGCCCTGATGACCCAGGGCCCTCCTCAGGGAGGTGGCAGGGGTGGTGGTTGGGACTTTCAGAGGACTTAATATGTGTCGTGGATGGCTGGGGTGAGGGGCTCTGGGGCCACAGCCAACCCACTCCCAGAACCAAGCAGCCTGCCCCACCCTGGGAGCAGCAAGGAACGATGATGGGGGCAATTCCTGGCACGTGCTCAGCAAGGGGCTGCTGATAGCAGCAGCGTGGTCTTCCCGTCTTCCCAGGGGTGTCTGGAGAGAGAACATCCCGGGTCACGCGTCAGGACTGCTTCAAAAATTGTGCACTGGGAATTATGTCAGAGCCGAAGCTCATGTGAAGCAGTGTCCCCCTGCTGCGGGTGTTGAGGAGCAGAGGCTCTGGAGAGAGGAAAGCCTGAGAAGACGGGGGGTGGGGAGGAGGGGCTGGGAAACTGCTTCACTCCAGAGTGTCCCTGGGAGAGGAGGGCAGAATGCCACCCACAAATACCTCACCTGCCCACTCCTGCCTGAGGGTTTCAAGTTGTCTCCTACATGTAGACAGGCTGCGCCAAAGCATCTACTCTTGCCTTAGCCAAGCTGAGGGCAGAGAGAGTGGGTGGGTCTATGACAGGGCTAGAACCTTCTTCAGTGGCCGCCAAAGGGTAGCACAATATGCCAGCCAAAAATATGCCACTTTGGCATAAGGATTATTTTGAGCTGAAAGCAACTGAAAAGAAGCAGAAACAAGAAAAGCTGTCCCGCCTCCCCCTATTTGCCTAAAAGCAGGACATACATTTACAAGGGTGTCCCTCCTCCCTCTCTACCAGGAAGGACAAAGGTTGATCACAGAAGACAACTTTAGAGGCTTATCAGCCCGTAGCCTGCACCAGGAGAAGCCACAGAACAAGCTTTACTAACTAACCTCTGTCTATTGTTAGTTCCCATTTATTTGTCTTCCCACACTTTGCCACCCCCAGAGACGCTAGGTCCTTTTCCTTTGTCCCCTTGCTTCTCTAAAATTATATTGCTTTTTGTCGAAGATGCTGTATAAACCAGAGTTCTAAGCCACCTCTTTAAGATTTTCTCATTTTCCCTGAGTATCTCACCTGTATACTTAAGGTATACACATTAACAAATTTCTGTTTGTTTTTCCCTTGTTAATCTGTCTTTTGTTATAGGGGTCCCAGCTAAAAAACTCAGAAGGGTAGAGGAAAAATTATTGTTTCTCCCCTACACTGGGAAATCAAGTCAAGCCAACCATTCCATGGGGCGCTCTAATCCCAGCCTCGTGAACAAGCAGTGACCATCCCATCATGAAGCTTAGGTGACCCCAAAGGAAGAGCCAACTGGGAAGGCTCTTGGTGGTCTGACCAACTGTCAGTCACTGTATGGGCTCTTGGGCTTGGGGGTGCCCAGTGCAGAGGGGATGCTGGGATGAGGTGGGGAAGAGGCCGGCTCCAAGGGATGAGTGCAGACTGCCCAGTCCCTTCCTGGCCAAGCCCCTCGAGCTCTCTGAAAAGCAGGGTCAACCAGCCCACCCCTGCTAAGCCTGGGCGGGACCCCACTGGCCTTCTCTCATTTCCTCAGGGGCAGGCAGATAAAGTTCAGGCTTCCTCTTCTTGACTAGATTCTTCTAGCAGTAAATGAGGTTCTGAATACCCCAGCCTAGTAGGGCATCCAGCTTCCTGGAGGGAGGGGTAAGGCATTGCAGAGGGCATTGCACACTGTCAGGCCTGCTCCCGGGATTTGATTTCCATCTGCAGAGAGCACACCTTTTCCTTTCCACACTTGCCAATCTCCTGATTGGTCCCTGGCTGTCCTTGAACTCAGTGTAGGCGGCAGCCTGCAGGGCAGTGCTCCATGGACAAAGTCCTGTGGACACTGCTATGTGCACAGTGGCTGCTCTTCCCCGGCAGAGAACTGCCGAAGTGGCACCCCCTTCCTGCCTAGGCTGGATGGAAAAGCCTAAGCTGAGCCCAGGGTGGAGCTAGAAGCACAGACACATCTCCCATGACACCCGGGGCAGGGAGCACAGGACAGGGAGAGTGAAGAACTGCTCCTGGGCCAGAGCTTATGTTCTTAGAAACACCAGACCTTTGGCTCTCAAAAGCAAAGCTCACAACTCATAGTGGGCTTTCTTCAGCCTCTGGGAGGCGGCACAGCAGAGACAGGCCAAGTCCTCTTTAAGGACTGTAGGGCCGAACCCAGCATCCACACAGCACACTAAGAATATCTCCACTCTCCTCTTTCCAGACCCCAGGGAGCAGGACTCACCCACGACCTCACAGGGCTCCCTGGGCAACCAGAGCTCTCCCCACCCTGGGTGGTGGGCAGCTGTGCTCCCCGGGGAGGGGCAGCTCTCCTTCCCCTCATATCTCTACCAGAGGCCAGTGTCCTCATAAAGCTGCAATGACCTGGACGGCTAGGGTGTCCTCCCTGGGAGCCTGCCTTGGCCATGACTCCACAGCGGGATACCAGTCCCCGCCCCGGCGTTCCTTTCTCTGGATAATTCTCCAAGAGTACCAACCTCCAGAGCTCACAAAGGCTCAGACACTTGATGTGTCTCTCTCACTCCCTTACACGATGTCACACTGACACAGATGTCACACTGACCACTGTCTTGGACTGACCTGGGACACCATCATGTATCATGAAAAAGATCATTGAAAAAGATCCCAGGGTCGCATCTGTGCTTGGTGGGAAGAAGCGCTGTTCATTATCCGTTTACAAAGGGGCATGGGGAATGTGGAAATTAAGTGTCTTTTCCTAATCCCCCGTGAATCAGGGCCAGGGCCAGGGCCAGGATGAGATCCCAGCCGTGCTGAGTCCCAGGCCAGTACAGGGAAGACACTTAGATTTGGGAACACTTGAATCAACATGCCAAAGCGTTCACTCTTTTCTTCAGAAAAAGAGTGCTTAGTAAATCTTCCCCGGGCTTCAAATCTGCTATTCTTTATGCATATGTGTGGGATGCTGGCAGGAACAGGAACAGAGAGTGTGGCAAGGGGCTGCGTTGCCCACGCAGGAGCCAACTGCCCCTCGGTTGCTCGTAACTGTAAAAGAGGGCAGGCCTGGCACTGGGTTGCTCCAGTTTCATCACAGCAGCAAGGCACCCCAGGAAGAGGAAAGGGACCATTTCAGAAACATCTGCAGGGAGCCACTCTGGACAGCTATTCAGTTACCATGGAAACCCACCCTTGGAAACCGCTTCAATTTCAGGAAAATAGCTACAAACAATAATAAGCATAAATGAAAAATGGTACGCTGTTACCTCAAAATTGTACTCGTTATTGGATTTTGTCGGGTTTTAGGGGCTTAGACTACAGGCTCATATCCGTGAATGCCAGGGAAGGCAGACATCTCCGCCTGGCTGCAGGCCTAATGATGGAGCCCACATCCTCCCTCCCACCGCTCTAATCAAGTTTCTGGATGTGACCTCCGGCGAGGCATTTATCAGAGAAGCTAATGTCTAAATTGCAGGAGGAAGGACGATGCGCCCAGCGCAAAGCAAACATTTGCCGAGCAGACTGGAAAGCAACACGGAGCCATTTGGGCGGGGACGTTGGCCAGGGTGTGTGGTCACTGCACAGGCTTTCTGCAGCCGAGGCTGAACGTGCGTGCAGCCTGTTAGAAATCTATAGAAATCAGGCAGCGGGAATAAGAGCTGAGCTGGGGGTTTCTGTTCTATTCCATTTTCAAGGACTCCTGGGTTAGAAAGAAAGAACCTTACAAAGACGACCTGGCCTGGCCCCTTCCCACGAGATGTTTCCATTCTCTTGGCAACATCTTTGCCAGGTGGTTACCGAGAATGTGCCTGGACGACTCTCAGAGCTAGAACATCCCCGTGACACTGCACTGAAGCCTAACTCCCTGTGGCTTCTACTCAGGGGAACTCAGACTCCTCTTGGCAGTCGTTTTCCTGATCCTTCTGTGTTCACCATGTGGCAGCCGTCAGCGACACCATAACGGCCATTCTCCCAAAGCACTTTCACAAGGGCACATCGAGGTGGAACCCAGAGCCTGACAGGGGAGGACGGTTGCTAACTGTGGGCTCCTAGATTATCCTTCAAAAACCACTTGTGCATATGCAGCTTGCACACGTTCAGATCATGACATATACCCTGATACCTGTTTTGTGGAAGCAGCAAAGGAAGGCAGGGAAAAAACAGTAATCTATAGGGTCTCCCATACCACCTGTCACAGCGGGCACTCAAAAACCACTTCTTGGACCAGAGAATCCTCACTGGACAAATAAATAAAACCAAGGTTCAGAGAAGGTGCCCAACTTGCCCAAGGTCACCCAGGTAGAGAGAGGCAAGGCCTGGACAAGAGCACTGGCCTCCTGCTTCCCAGCCTCCCACCCTGCCCCAAGGAGGGCACTGCACCTGGGCACCCAAGTCCTGAGCCCATGTCCTAGGACCAGAGGCTGCTGGACCCTCTTACTACCCCAGGGACCATTCTCAGTGTGAGCTTGAGTTAGGCCTGACATGCCAGCCCACCCAGAGCACCCCCTGGACCCCACCAAGGAGGCATGGAGCTCCTCTGAAAGGGAGGAGTCAGGCCAGTGACCAGGGAGGGTCTGGAAACCCCCAGAAAGAAGAGCATTTGGTGGCTGCCTAGAGTCTAGATCAGCCTCCAGGGCAAGGATCCGATGAGTGACAACAAAAGCCCTTTAGGGCTAGATCACATTATCGAAACCTACAGCAAAAAGGAAGTCACAAAGAGTATCAACCCACCATCCTAGATTTTTTCATCAACACGGCCCTGCTTGAAAGGGAATGGCCTGTGTCTATGAGAAAGAGAAGGCTGTCTCTCCCAGCAGAGCCGGGAGGAAGCCCCCTGCCCCCAGACACCAGGGCACAGCAGGCACAGGGCAGTGGCAGGCAGTGAGCTGGGGGACCAGGAGTGACGGGGGGCCCAGGGCCCTGAGGCCTTGGGAGAGGTGGGAGGGGTCTGACTCACCAGGCTGTGCATGATGCGCGCACCGTCCGGGTTCACCGTCAGCGCCTCCTTGTACAGCTGCTCGGCCTCCTCCAAGCTGCCCTTCAGCTCGGCCAGCCGGCCCCGCATGTAGAGCACCGAGTGAGAGGTGGGGAAGAGGCCTGCCGCCTCCTGGATGCAGAAACCTGCTTCCTTGAGGTGTTGCTGCTCCATGAACAGCTCGGCTGCAAAACCAAAAGGGCGGTGGGAGGTATGAGTGGTGGGGAGTCAGAGGCAGCGGCCCCCTGCCCGCATCCTTGGAGCCGGGGAACCAGTATTAGGTGACTGACACTATTCCACCAAATCGCAGCATTGGACAAACTGCTGTGGGAGGCAGGGGGACACCAGGTGATGGTGTGTGAGTACTTACTCTGGCAGGCACCTGCTAAATAAGTGCACCACACCAAGCGGAGGCCCAGTGGGTGCTCACAGAAACCCTGCAGAACAAGGACGGTTGTGACCCCACTTTAGAGAGCAGAAGACTGGGCACTGAGGGGTTAAGGCAGTTGCCTAAGGCCATAGGAGTTGCCTGTGAGGAAGTGTGATACCCAGGGTTTCAATCCAGGCTGTCTGACTTCAGAGCCTGGCAGTGGGGACATGGTGTCTCCTCGAGCTAGGAGCTTGCTCAAGTGACTCTGATCTCTTTTTCAATGTCCCTTCACTTCATTCGTTCCCTTGTGTCCAGGGTTAAGGGGACAGAAGCAGTTGAGGTGGTCTCCCAGGAGGGAGATACAAGGTGGAGTGTGCTCAGAGCAGGGGAGAGGCAAGTGATCCCTCCCAGCACGAGGTGGGAGGATGAGGGAGGAAACTCAGGGAGCGCCTGCCCTGGGCAGGGCAGGGTGCAGACAGGCAGTGTTCACAACAGCGACGAAAATCCACCACCTGCACCGATGGAGTGCAGCCGCGCCAAACCCCTCGAGTCTTGGAGGGAGGCACATACTATCACAATCCCCATTTTAAAAATCCAGGCGAAGGAGGTGAGGACCTTGCTCCCTTCCCTTGGAGGGAAAGGGCAGAGCCAGGGCTGTGCGCGCGCGCGCACACACACACACACACACACACACACACACACACACACGAGCTTGGATCTGCCCCAGGGCCAGAGCAGGGGAAAAGAGCGCAGTTCCTCCAGCCCAGGCCAGCCCCACGTGGCACACCCCCTCGACAGGCACTTTTGGAGACGCTGCTGGTTGGCCTCATGGGGCACTCAGCCTTCCTTCCAAAGCAGCCTCTGGGCTTGGCTGCCCCGTCCCGGGGCCGGTGCCCATGCTGAAGTCACAGAAGGACCGAGACACAGATGGGAAGCACAGACAGGCCAGCAGAGTCTGACTTGTGGTTTTACCAAGAACTTTTTTAGTAAAGGCTGAGAGCTGAGGTTACCCCAGTTCAGATTATGTCCAGGGTGGGGTAGATAACAGATATCTCCAAGGGAAACTCCCAGAGAGAGGTGGAAAAGCCAGGCCCAGGCACCCTGTCTTTCTTTCCCGATGAGCAGCAGGAAGGAGGCCTCACTGAAGCCTTGACTGTAATGCAGCACACATGATACTCCACAGCAACACTGCCTGAGGCTCATTGTGCAATGCGAGGAGCTTGCCACATCCTGAAACGCTGCAGAGAGCCTTTTAAGCAGGGTGCTCTTTTTCTCTACTGGAAATGAGAACTTGGGAGAATCAGGGAATTAAATAAACAAAGAGAAGCCAGGCTCCCAGAATATGGCGAGGGAGAGAAATGCAGGCTCTTGTCCCTGGGGACAGGCTGAAACGGAGATTCCCAAGGCAGACAGCACAGGAAGGTGAAGCCAGGAAATGGAGGCTTTGAACCAGGGCCTTGAAGGGGGGTGGCCCAGTGATCAGAGAATTGGTCATGTCAGCCTCAGCTCTCTTTCCCTGCTCTGCTGCCAGGCTGCCTTCATAACTGAGTGTCCAGTGTGCAACTACTGAGTACTGACTGTGTGCCTGGTCCTCCCATGAGAAGGAGAAAGAGCAGGGGTAGTGTGGGGACAGCTGAGCCACTAACCCACTTCAGACCCAGGGAAGAGGAGTGACAAATGGGAATCCTGGGTGTTACGTGGGCACTCAGGAGGGGTCAGGCCAGTGCTGCTGGTTTGGTCAGGGAAGTCTTCCTGGGAGTGGGGGTGGGGCAGCATTAGTGCTGGGGCCTGAAGGCTGCAGAGGCATTTGGACTGGCAGTGAGGATGAGGGACACTGTGCTGACCTGGAGGGCCCAGCTCTATTGCAACAGAATCCCCCAGGGGCACGAGAGAGCGGGAGAGGCAGAAGGAAGGGTGTGGGTGCTGGGGGTGGCTGCTTCCTCCATCGGCAAGCTTGGCTCAGCTAAGGGCCCGGGGCGGGGTCAGCCTCTCCACTCCCCTAGACCTTGTCCCAGCAGTCCCATCCCCAGCCTGGCCCACTTGGCCCCGGTATGGCTCATTATGCTGTTTACAACTTGCGGCCTGTCTCCAGAGGCTGTCCCTGGTCCCTTGGGGACTCCACATCATGCATTCACATCAACAGATTTCAATTAGAAGGGACCCTGCCTGCTCCCAATCCCTCCAGCCTCAGACCCTGGGGCTTCCAGAGAGCCCAGGCCTTGCTGGGCTGGCCCTGAAAAATAGGTAGGGCTGCTCTGCTCTGATGGGCTTCATACCAGTTAGGCAGGAAGCCAGATGACACAGAAGAGAGCCAGAGGACCGAGGCCTCCTGGCTGCCTTGCAGACAGCCCCTGGCAGGTCCAGTCCCCAGGGTGGGGTCTCTGATCTGCAGACAGGGCCACAGGTCTGGGGGCTACAGAGCACCCCCTCTTCCTAGGCTCAGTGTGCCTGGGCAGGTGCCCTGGGCTCCTGCTCACTGCTTTACCAAACATGGTGCTCACCGGGCAGTCGGCGCGGGTGCAGCAGGCACCCATGGCACCGCGCCCCGATCCTCTGCGGCCTGGCCCTGGCTGCCAGGACCCGGCGGTGCCCACACCCATCTCGGCCTCCCCTGGCCAGGGCTGGGTGACGCTCACTGTTACCAGATTTTCCTTGAATTTTCATATCGAGGTCGCCAACCCAGCAAATGGCCTTGCTGCACCCCCGTGTCAGAGGGCTCCCCTCTGCCCCCTCAGTTCCTTATTCTCTCTTCCTCCCTGCCTACCTCCTGACCCCTTCTCTTGCCTGCCTGCCTCCGGTTTTCTTCCTCTTCCCTCCCTCTCTCTCCACCCCTCTCCCCTCTGTGCTTTCTGCTTTCTCTCGGCAGGCTACAAATGGAAAACATCTGTTCCCTGGAGCTTTGCAAGAGGCCCTTTTATTATTTTTTTCTGAGACATCCTGGTCTAACCCCGCACCCAGAGCTGGTTCTAGTCTTCCTGCCATTCCTGCCAAAGCCGAGGCTCCCCAACCCCCCATCCCCAGCGCTGGGGGATGGGCGCACTCTCCAGGGCTATTTCCACAGCCCTTTGCAGGGAGGGCCTTGTCCCAGGCTGCCCTGTGCTGGGGAGCAGTGGCCCCTTGCAGGGCCTCCCCAGATGAGGTGTGTGTCCTAGAGGGACCCTACCCGGACCTCAGAAAGGGGAGGGAGCCATTGGGACTCAGAGCCCTGGGGCGGGGGAGAAAGAGGTTAGGCCCCCAAAAGGAATCCACCGTGGTGGGCAGTTCTGGTGACCGAAAGGAAATAAGGAAGTCAGCATGCCTCCCTACGCAGCAGACCCTCAGCACGCGTGACACCCAGAACAAAAAAGGCAGGTGGGGAGAGGATGAGGGAGGACAGTGAAGACCAAGGGGCTGGAATGGAGAAAGACCAGGAGACCAACAAGGGAAACCCAAAAGTCTGAGACCCTCCAGCCTGGGCCCAGAGTGCACAGGGCTTCGGGGCTGCGTGGGCCTGTCCTGGGAGTGGCCTCCTTGCTGGCCCAGGAAGCTGGGAGGAGGGAAGAAAGAGCCAGAGCCAGGGGAGAGGAGACGTGGGAACAAGGCACTGAATGAAGGCAGGAGGGAGTGAGCGGGGTGGGGACCTGGGGAAAGGGGGGAGAGCAAAGGAAGACAGGGCAAAGGGCAGAGAGGAAAGAGGGATACCAAAGAGCAGAGGAGTATGCAGGACCAGGGGTAGTGGTGGCTTCCCTCACCCATGATTTTGTCATAAACATGCGCTCTGGCCACAGTTCTGGCCGCCCCACCCCAGCTTCCTCATGTGCCCAGCTGACAGCTGGGGCGGCGTCCACCTGCAGGCCAGGGCACCTGTGCCCTGAACTCGGGACTCTGGCATTTGGGAGCTGAGACTCAGGCCAGCATCCCGTGAACCCAAAGCCCAGAGCCACCCATGTCCCCTCCAGGGCAGGGGAACTCTCTCCTATGTCCATCTCCCGTCTCTGGCACACCAACAGCTCCCAGGGCTGTAGTGGGGGTTCTTGCTTTTCTGGAAAGCACCTCTTGACACTCTGGTCCTGAAGCATTCATGAAGCTCGGTGCTCTCCCACTCTCACACAGACCCGCTGCCCATGAGGGACCCTGCAACTCTCGCTCAAGCCTGTGAGCTTCTCATGTCAGACTAGAATGGGAAGGAGGCTTGGAGAGGGGAGGAGAGGAGGGCAAGAGCTGGGAGAGGAAGGATTCGACATTTCCCAACCAAAGAGTAGGTTCATGACAGAAACATGAATCTGCCAAAGAGATTGGGATACAAGTTATCTTGAACCAAACCAGAGGGATTAGTTCATTCCAAAATGATAAAGGCATCTTCTTCCTTCCCTGTAAATTTGCTGCAGCTGGTAGAGTCATTAGGCAGGGGTGAGTGGGGTGGGGACGCTGATGACAATATTCTCAGCCTGGGTCGGGTGGGGGTGGGTAGGGAGAAGTCACTGCCCTGTGATCTGGTCCTGGCAGCCCTCATTCGACAGGTGCTCAGTAGATACTTGCTGGCCATGGTGGCAGCCAGGGGAAGGAGAGAGCTCACGGGTGCAAACTGCCCCGGAATTCTCTCATGCTCAGAGTGAAAGAGCTAGGACACCTTCTCAGATTTCCTTCCTGGCCTCGGTGGCTATGCACCGGTTCACTCTCTTCTATCATGACAGATCCCCTGATTTTTAATGGGAATGAATGAATACCCAGAATTGACATTTGTCAGAGTCCTTTGCACTTAGGGGCAGTCAAATAACTAAGTTCTGGCCAAAGGATCATGAAAGGGAAGTGAAGTGTGCAAATTCCAGGATATGTCCTCATAGGGGGAGGGGGTGCCTTTCTTCCTCTCTTCCTCCTTTATCTTAGGCCTTAGAATGTGAAAGTGGCAGAAAGTCATCTTGGACCACATGGATGAGAATGACACCCTAGGGATAGAAGAGTAGATATCCCATTCAAGACTGTGATCTCTGAATTGTTACATGGGAAAGAAATAAGCATCTACCTTGTGTAAGCCACTGCTGTTTTGGATCTGCTACCTGCACTCAAACCTAGTTCCTGATACTACACTGCCCAACCCTTACCTGGTGCCATGTGAAAAGCATTCAGATGTTATTCTCAGAGTTTTCCTCTGTAGGGAGAATATCTAGGATAATGTCCAGAGAAGGGCTAATGTACAAATTATTGAAGGGTGTGTTTATAGTCACCTTCCCATGTCTAATGACAGGCTTTAGGAAGGCCGTCAGCCTTGCTTGGAGTTACCAGAACATGCTAGCCTCCTTAGCATGAAGCAATATATTATCTGAGAAATGCAAGCAGGCTTGTGAAGTGCAAAACCATTTTCATTTGCTGATGGTAATAAACAAAGCAAATGATTAGAACAAAAGGCCTTGGGAGCCCCAGCTCAGGTACCCACAGCTCTGGACTTTGATCCCCCCATTACTGACACATCCCTTGGCGTTGGTGAAGCCCTCAGCGTGGGTACAGCTTTCTACTCCGGCACCTGCGGGGACGAGGGCTCCATTCTGCCCCTCAGAGTCGATGTGGCTCCATGACTTAGAAGAAGACGGGGAATCTTTGCCTAAGGGGAGACCTTGTTTATTATCCTTTTGGATTTTTCATCATTCCTCTCCCCACTTAAGACCCAACAAGCTGACTCTGGAGCAAGCGCAGCCCCCACGCAGCCCTAGCACCCTCAGCTCCCTGAGACACCAACTGGGGCAGTATCTGTGTTATTAAAATGCTCCCATGTGTAGCTTCTCTGTGACTCCTGACCTTTTTTTTTCCAGACTCAGAAGCTAAGGCGGGGCGGGTGGGGGCATACTGCATACTAGCGTGTGTGTCCATGTGTGAGAAACATGCGGTGGGAGCACCGGGTTCTCAGCTAAGAAGCACGTTCTAACTCCAACTTGCCAAGTCCTCCTGGGGGGCTGCAGCGCCACCCCCATGGCAGGAGAGCAGACGGGAGGGTAACCAGAAAACAGGCGCAGAGGCACTCCTGGGCCCACAGCCCCCCGGGGTGGCTCAGGCCACAGGGATCTGCTCAGTCTATATCCTCCTCCTCTCTGTTCTGCTGCTGCCGCCATTTTATTTCTTCCAGGCACTCACTTGTCATCTTTGGCCTTGGTGCTCTCTCATCTGCTCCAATCCACCTCTCACACCACCCTCAGGTTAAGTTTTCAGACACCCTTTCCAGCAAGTCACTCCTTGGCCTTCCTAAGCTGAGCATTAGGACACTCGCCGTCTGCAGTCCCAGACCACCTCCACGCCCACCTCAACCCCGATGAACGAGACAGAAGCCAAGCACCATTTGCTGAGCACCTACTATGCGCCACCCTCACTACCTCACAAGTTAGCTCGGTGTGGATCAGGACCTGCCACTTGTGAGCTGGCATCAGAACCCAGCTCTGTGTGACTCCGAAGCCGGCTGTCTGCAGCCTACCTCCCAGACGCTAACCTTCCAGCTCCACAGTGGCAATGGTGCCAATCACTGTGAAGAGGGACTGTCGCCTGAATGGCAACCTCAACATTACCCGCCTTCCCTCTGCCTTTAATGCATTCTACCCCCAGACCTCTCTGTCTTGGGGCCTCAAGACCTCACCTCTTCTTTAGCTACTCCGCAAGTTCTCTCTCCATGAGGTTTAAGTTCTCCAGGATTTGAAGCCTGTTTGTGAGACTAAGAAGACCATCTGTGCGGCCTCTCATGACCTCAAATTCCCTCACATTTGTATCTGCTTTGAGAGACGCTCTCCCAGGTGGGAGGCAGACACTATCCCCACTGGGCAGAGAAGGAAACCCGCAGTCAGATGGATCAAGTGACTTGCCCAAGGCAAGGAAGAAGCAGCTGGGACTAGAGTGCCAGGTCCCCATCCCCAGCCCTGTCCACAAGCGCTCTGTAACCCACATGAGCCCTGCCAGGAGTCCTCGCCTCCGTGCACTCCCTGCTCCAGGACAGGGCTCTGAGAGCTGGGGCAGGCTGCAGGCAGGCAGGTGGGTGTCACGGGACCAGGTTCCCCAGCTGGGGCCAGGGCACTCACCAGCCTGGAGCCAGATCTGTTCCAGCGTGGTCCACAGCTGCATGGGGCCGTGCTTCAGGACCGAGCAGGGCATGGTCAGCTCCGACATGGCCTCCTCCAGCCGGGAGGCTGCAATGGACGATGCTCGCCGGGAGCCTGCGGAGCAAGAGGAGGCGGCTGAGCAGTAGCCAGAGTGCCCCAGGAGCAGTGACTGCCCAGTTCCCCGGGGAAGGACAGGGCACCCGAAGCAGGCAGGGGGAATGGCCTGGCAGCCACAAAACAGCTCAGCAACCCACCAGGGAGGGCCCACTGCATACTCTCACCCTCAGACAGGGACAGGGGCTCTCTGGGGGCAACCAGGCAGAGACCCTACTAGGAATCTATCCCTAGGAAGACAATCACAAATGTCAGCAGAGATGCCTGTCCTGCTACTGCTCATAACACCGAAAACAACAGGAGTTACCCGAGCGTCCAACAATTAGGGACTGATTAGAAATAAGTAAAGGTACAGTCATCTATGACTCTGCAGTCATTAAAATATAACAACGATGTCTAAATACAGATGTCGAAACATCTCTCACATAGTTTGATTTAAAAAAGCAAGTTACTAAAGAATAGATTCACGTTTTCATAAAAAAGAAATATGGGCATGGAAAAAAGTCTGAAAGGCCATTTATTAAGGCCTGGGTGGTGAAATTATAGAAGGGTTTTCTTTTCTTCTGCTATTTTTACTTTCTCTTTTTACAAGTGTGTATTATTGTAGCCTACATATAAAGGTCCTGTTTGGGCTGTGCTGGGAAGGAGCCTTGGGTAGCATTTCAAGTCAGACCTGTGCCCTCTGGAAAACCTCTCCCTATGGCAATTCTTGGTGACATGGGCCCCTGTTCAGGATATGTAAGCTGTTGACATTTATAATTCCCATGCAGGTGAAATGTGAGCACTTTCTCTCTCGCGCACAGAGGCAATAAAGGCTCCAATAAACTCAGGAGACCTCGGGGCAAACCACAGATGATTTCGGTTTATGAGACAAGTGAACACAGAGTCCTAATAACTGTGTTCATAATTCTTCCCTAATTGCAAGGGAGCTCCCGGCCCTTAACCGTTCCCTCCTTGGAGACAGCAGCTCTCCCCGCGCCAAGCACGGAGACGCGCCTCGAAAGTCAGGTGCCAGGCTCGCCTTCCGGAACCAACTCCATCCCTTGACAACGAAGGTGCAACTTGGCTCACATCCTCAGGAGTGGGAAAAAAAGAGCAGTTCCACTAACGACAACTCACTTTCACTCTCATGACTAAATCTTCTCGTGTGTTTGAGGAAGGTGTTCTGCTTTAATCAGGTCCTCAGTCAAAAAATGCCTCGGTCTGCAGCTCCTGAACTCATTTGAATTTCACAAGTCCTGGGTTTCAGGATGAGTTTTTCCAGGAAAGAGTTAGCTTTGACCTTAGCATTATAAACAGCTCAGCCTATTCCTTTCTATTTGACTTATTGGCTGAGGACATTGGGTGGACTGTGGCCTCTGGCTTTAGCCAAAGGGGAAAGAGTTTCTGTGCTCCGCAGCATCTTCCCGACCTCGCCCTCCTCTTCATCCCCTGCCCACTCAGCGCTGCCATCGCCCGCCCAGGGCCAGCGGGCAGCCCTACTCAGAGCCAAGGTCAGCCCTGAAACACGCCTGAGGGCAGCTCCTCAGCACCAGGGCCCCTGAGCAGCAGCCAGCAAGGAGCGGTGGTGGGTTTGGCCAGGCGGGCAGACACCACTCCCTGCTAGCGTTTTTGTGCTGGGAGAGCAAGCGCGCCCTAGGCCCACACAGCTGTCCCCGGGCGTGCTCTTACCAGAGTCTGCGTCGTGGGCGTCGGGCAAGGTCAGGTGCATGCCGCTCTGCTTCTTCATCGTGAGGCCCTCGGCGAGGCTGCCGTCCTTTTCCAGGCCTCTGGAAGGCAGGGAAGGCAGGTGAGGCAGAGGGCTGGCAGGGAGGACCAGGTGGCCTCTCTAGAAGGCGGCTTTGGGGTGTTGAGAGTTCAGGCCCAAGAACAGAGCCCAAGTCACTGGGAAGCACGAAGACCACTAGAGAGGCAGGACAGGTCAGCACGGGTCCGGGCCACACAGGCTGAGGACTGGGAACCCTCCCATGCTGTCTATGCTCTTCTCTGACATGGGTGAGGCCAGAGCTCTCCAGGCCAGGGCAAGGTCTTTTCTACCTTTTGTTGCCCTCACAACATCTAGCAGAGTGCCAGGCAGAGAGGGGGACCCAGGGACTGGCCTTCAAGGAAAGCCTGGTCTTCCCAGGGCACCAGAAGAGCCCCAGACCACCACCCATGGGAGGAGGGCCCAGATGCCACTCCCTGTCTCAGGCCCCCTTCCTTAGGCAGCTAGGGTAGCCCCAGAGGAGCCAGGGGTGGCAGATTAAACAACCGCTGCCCCCAATTCCCCAGCTCCCATACTGTTGGCATCGGTGGCAGTGGGAGCGGCTCTCTTTTCTCAGAGTGGGAGGTAGTGGGGACCCAGGAAGGAGCCACCAGCTGAGAAAGGCAGCACAGCCCACTGTGGCCATCCTGGGGCACATGCAGCCCCCAGCCAGCTCCTTTCACTGCTGACGAAGCCCCTGACCCTTGACCCTGCTGGTTGGGGAAACTTAGAGGAGGATGAAGGCAGTAGATGCAGGAGAGGAAAAGGCAGGTCCAGCCTGGGCCAGAGGCTTCTTTCCAGCTTCTTCCCTTCAGAGGAGCACCAAGACAATGGTCCTGCAATGAGTGCCAGGGTCTGGGGTGTCCTTGCCAGCCTGACTCAGGCTCACACTGGCCCCAGGTTGGGGCTGAGGCTGCACAGCCATCTCAGTGGGCGTTAGAGGAAGCCATCCAGGAGCTCGAACTGGTTCCCTTCCTCTGCTGCCTTCCTCCCCTCCCCGGGTGGCTCCTGAGCCTGGTGCAAAAGAGCCAGAGACACCTGACTAAACTCACAGGCCACCTTTCTCAGCTTCGTGACCCTCAGCACAGCTACTTGACCTTTCTAAGTCTTAGTTTTCTCATCCTGAAAATGGGTGTGATAACGTCCATCTCACAGGTTGCCGTGAGGAACAAATGAGGCGCACGGGCAGGCGCTGGCCCACGCCAGACCCACAGATCCCGCCTCCCATCCTACTTTCTCTCCCATCTGTGAAGGGACTTCTCCTAGGGCCCCAAAACAGCCCACCTGGGGGACTACTTGCCGCCTGGCTCTAGGCCAACGCCAGGCATGGTCCCTACCTTGCAGAACCTCACAGCCAGATGGGGAAGAGACAGCCCAAGTTGAGCAATTAGCAGAGACCCACAAGGACAGTGCCGAGCTGAAGCAGTTTAGAGCCTGGTGGCTCCATGAAGGAGGGGCATCTGGACAGGCCTCAGGGGTGATTACAACTTTAGACCAGCAGCGTGGGACTGGCCAGGCAGAGTGGAGGAAGGGGGTGTGCCAGGGAGTTCAGCAGGAGGTAGGGCCACTGGGGGGGAGGGGTAGGGTAGGCAGACCTTCAGGCTGTGGATTCAGTCTTGATCCTTGGCTGCCGTGAACTAGATTTTACAAGCCCTAGTTTCTGATCTGTGACTCCAGGTTCAGGAAAGAATCCTCTTTATCTCCTGGGAATGTCAGGAGGTTCTGAGTTCAGGCGTCTGATCCAGGTAGTACTGCCCTACCCCACATGGGGAGCCCAGGAGTTTTGAAATTCTGGAAATTTGAAAACTTTCTGGGCTCCCAAAGTCCCTGTGAAAATGCAAATACCCATCAGAGTAGGGTCCCCTGAGGTCTTGGGGAGATGACACAGCTAGGAATCCTAGAGAAGGAGAGGGTTTGGGGACCAGAGGACCAGAAAGAGGCAGGGCGCCCATTCTGCATGAGGTCCCCTTCCCTTTGGGCTGCACAGGCTGAGTGCGGGCGTCTCACTGGGTTTCAGCAAAGACTTTCTGCAGATTCAGCCCAGACAAGAGGGCCCTGCTCTGGCCCAGGAAAAACCTAGATGCCAGGCCAGGGACTACAGCAGGAGAGGGGATGCATGGAGATTGTGGTGACTGGGGAGAAGGGTGGTGGCCCTTCAGAACCCCACCATCTCCACTTCCTCCTCTTCTAGCCTCCATATGGAATCGGGAAAGAAGTGACAGCCTCCATGGGCTGGGACTCAGGAGACCCGGGTCTGAGTCCAGCACTAGCGTTCACCAGGCAAGTGACTCCGGAAAATTCCATAAGTTCTCTGAGTCTCAGTTTCCTCACTGGGCTGGGAATAAAATCTGGTCATGTATACAATAAAGCAATAAGCCCAGCACCTGGCACAGGTGCTCAACAATGATTTCTCTTTCCTCCTCTCACCCTGAACTTCAGTTTCCTAAATAGGGTCTTATGTACTTCATAGAAGATTGTCAAGAGGTCACAATTGGCCCATGGATGTGAAAAGCCCCGTGAGCATTAAGTTCCACACTCTCACCATCACCATCTTGCCAGGCATGGTGGCCACTCCGCTGTGGTCTGTTGCCTTGACAACCACCCACTGGCAACCCAAGGGACAATGACAGCCACTCACCCCAGCTGGGAGAAGCTGTACAGGGTCTGCCACAGCTGCAGCATCTGTCTGCAGGTCACCAGGGCTTCCTCCGGGCCTTTCAGTACCTGCTCCAGCTTCACCTTGGTGAACATCAGGCTGCGGGGAGGAAGTGGCCGTCAGCATGTCCTGGTGAGGGCGCCCTCTCACCTGGGGACTCTGCCCCAGCCCTGCACCCCCACCGGTCCCCTCCCCAGCACACGGGAGGCAGAGTGCCCTGAGTGTGGCAGCCTCTGCCAACCCCAGGACCACTTGCTTTCTCTCTGTGCCTCAGTTTCTTCCCATCTTGGCTGCCAAAACACACGACACTCTCCAGTAGTCATCAGTGCTCACTCCACGTGTCCGCTGACCAAACGCTACCTTGCCCACCTCTGAAGCAAGGTCAGGGGCAATTACTGGTCTTTCCTGGTTTGCTCTTCCTCCCCACATCCTCAGCCAAGCATCATCCTATGTCCTCGAACGTGTGGCCAGGCTTTATCCTTAGCTGCCCCACAGGGCCCAGGACGGGCCTCGGATAGGAGACCCGCCCAGAAAGCCACTCTGAGTCAGAGATGAGGTGAAGCCAGGGATTGGTGAGGAGGTCACCTGGGCCAGGGTCCTGCTTTCTACCTTGGCAGCACACAGTAGGGGCCCTGTTAACTACCCCTAAGTGGAACTGCAAACCCTGTTTCCTGCCCCCGGATACATGAGGAAGATGGTGTCATACTTTATCAAAGGATTCTTCCTTGAATTTCCCAAAATAGCCAGCTCCCCTTACATAATCCATAGGATTAAAGCAACACGAAATCCTATTCAAATCGCTACTGTGCAATGAGAGCGAGCAACTTCGGAATTTCTTTCAACCTGAAAAGCTGAAGTCCTCTGAGGTAAGACCAGTGTGGGGATGTGGCCCTCATGATGGCTGGGAAGGAGGGGCTGGTCCCACCCACTGGCAGGACCCCAGGAGGGGTGTGTGGCTCCCTCTCTCTGCCCTGGACACAGCAGGGACAGCCAAAGGATTTCACACAGACCAGTGAGAACACTTGCTCACCAAGGACTGGGGTGCAGCCCTGGAGGCCCTGCTGTGCCAGGTGTTGGCCCTTCAGCCGCTGGGAGGTCTGGGGTCCTGGAGGAGGGGTCCAGGCAGCAGCTATTTAGCACCCGGGGTGGAAGGAGGGCGCTATTTCCTCCCCGGTACTGCCAGCACACTGGCCACCTATGCTGCCTACAGAGGGTGGCTGAGCCACCAAGGTCTGGTGGGGCTGCAGCTCCCAGTTCTCAGGAGTGAGATCCCTTGATCCACAGCATGGCTGCTACGCAAACCACGGGGCTGGCAGGCCCCGAATCTGATCGCTGCCTGGAGGTTCTGCTGGCCCACCTGGCGGTGGCACACAGGCCTTCCCCTCCGGGGCCCCACCCTGACCTCTCAGGAGGCAGGAGGGGGCAGGCTTGCACCTGGGGCTGCCCCTCTGACCTGTCCCCTCCACTGGGGGCCTGGCCCCCCTCTCCTCTGCCCTGAGACCTGGGCCTCCAGCCTCATAAGGACTGTGATGTCCCTACTCTCCTCCTTTCTTTTCACACCTTATTTCTCTTAGGTTGTGACTTATTGGTAAGGAATGAAGAGGGTGGCATTTGCCTCAGTCCTCTTGTCAGAAGAGGGAGTTTCTGGACAAGTATTCTTCTTCTTCCTTACTATTCTCAAAAATGCCTTCCTGCCCCCGCACACAGGTTGCCCCCTTGACGTGGCCCCTCCTCTCACCTCACTCCCTGCCAAGCCTGACTGCAAATCTCACCTCTCGGGTCGGCCTGCACCCTCTTGGAACACCAACTAACGACCACCTAGATGGCCCATAAGGTCCCAAGGGCAGAGGCCGAGGTCCTCTGGTGTGGACTGCATGGGCCTGGCACACGGCCACACAGGCCACACCCCTGAGCAGGGCTGGCCCAGGGTGGGGCAGCCGCTGGGGGGACCGGCCTCCCACCTGCACCCTCCTTTCCCAAAGGTGCAGAGGGTCCAACACTCCACAAGGATTAGGAGCCTGTGCTTTGGGAATATGAAGGAGAGCACACAGTGTCTGTCCTCAAGGCAACAATTAGAGTGCTATGAATGACACACTGCCCAGAGAACCAAGGGCTGTATTTTTGGATCAGACTCAGTGCAAAGAGAGAACAGAGAAGGGGTCTTGCTAGAGCTGGTGGGAAGCAGGGTGGAAGGAGCCACAGGGGGCGTGGAGGGGGCAGCAGGTTGGAGCAGTAGGTGTTTGGCGAGGCAGGAAAGCCCCTCCCCTGAGCAGCCAGAGCAGCAGAGGGCCCTGGGCCGGGCAGGTTCCCAGGGATAGATCCCAGGCAGGCCAGCTCTGCAGCATTCCCCGGCTCTCCTCACACTCCTCCTCTGCAGCAAGCTTCTCCCTGCCAGAGCCCACTTCCCAGTCTGCTCCCTGCATCCCTGAGGGCCAGCTGGGTCCATGGGAGACCCGACCACACCATGTGCTTGGAGCAGAAGTGGCCAAAAGCTGAGCTGGCATCACAGTAACTTCTACCAATGCCGGCGGTAGCTTTGCAGCCACTGACATTCCATTAGCATGAGTGGCCCAGAGCGGAATTTCTCAATCCAACCACATCCTTTCTGGGCTGGGGCAAGTGCTCCAACAGTCACCCTTGGTCTGATCCTTCACTCCCAGATGCTGGGAGGCTCCAGATTAGCTCCAGGAACTCCTGGTCTGGCAGCTGAGCACCACCAGAGGGATCTTCCTCCACCAAGAGCCCTGCCCCAGATGTCCACGCCTGCCATCCAAGCGCTTCTGCGTGGCCTTCACAACCCTCCCCTTCTGGCTCCACCTCGTATTCCTGCACTCTCCCCATGACCTTGGGCACCTGTGCACTGATCACATGGGTATTAGCAGCTCTCTGAACCTCAGGACAGACTCCTGGACTCACCTGTGCTTTGTTCTGCGTCATGCTCTCTGCTGACACTCACCCTTCCTAACCATATGCCACCCTCTTTCTCTGTGTGTCCCCATAGGGGCTGTGCACGCCCCTCCAGGACAGTCTGCACTAAGTCAGGATGTGGTTGTATGTGGCCCTGCCGGCTTGCCTCTAGTTCACTGCTGAACTCTCTCCCCGCTCCAGCAGGGATCTGCAAGCAACTCCACTCCCTGGGAGGGAGCAACTCAGCCGTTCGGCTAAGCAGCACAGGGCCCCTCTCCAGCCTGCCGCCCACACACTCTTGGCCCCGCTTTCAGAAAGCCTGACAGAGCCCGGTGTGCCCTCATGGCTGAGCGATGCCTCCTCCCCACAGGGGAGTCAGGGCTGTGGCAACAGCCCCACAGCAAACTGTGCTTCCCGGGTGGGCTGTAGGGAGGCTGCCTGCAGTGGAGGCTGGAGTCACAGTGGGCCAGCCTGGGCCCCGAGGCCCCATCAAGCAGCCCAACCCCTTGCTCACCTGTCTCATATATCAAATGAGCCTAAAATGTCACTACAATAAAGGATTCTGAGGCTTAAAAAAACCCCACTATTTCAATCCCATGGTTCTAGTCCTCCCCCAAGAAGTCCCTGTGTGACCATCCTGTCCTCTGAATGTCTGGGTCTGTGTCCAGCTAGCACCTGATTATATCTGATATACATATTGTTGGGGCTCAGGACACACCACCCCAAAATATGACTGTCGGAGACTAGAATATGCCACCCCAAAATACGCTTTGGCATATTTTGGGCTGGTTATTCTGAGAAACTGCAGATACAGGAGTAGATCTGAAAAGCTGTCCTTTTGTAAAAGAAATTGACATCTATAAAGGAAATCTATATTAGTAAAAGTATCTGTCTTAGGAAGAGAGCTGCCCCAGACAACTTTTATTACCTAAGACACTTTACCTGTATAACAAGACAACCTTTATTCACCACACACATCCTCCCCTCATCCTCCCGTAACTTAAGTCGCCACTGCCAGCTCAAGAAGCCCCAAGCCTCTGTTCCTTTCTGTAGCTCAGGATGCTACCTAAGCTTCAATCGTCTGGTGCTTCTTTGAGTCTCATATTTCGTAGGACTGCAGCATATACGCATATAATTAAGCATGGTTTTTCTCCTGTTAACCTGTCTTATGTCACTTTAATTCATAGCCCATCCAAAGGACCTGGAAGGGTGGAGGGAAGCCATTTCCCCCCCCTCTTGCTATATATATATATTTTTTTCCTACTTAGGCTTAAGAGTGTAATAATAAAGATAAACTCATATCAAGCATCGTTAAAGTCAGACACTCTAGAAACAGTCACGGCCAGTCCTGTGCACAGAGCTTAAGACCACCTGTGTCCCACCTGGGCAGCAAGCACCTGCAGAACAGGGCCCACCTCCCTTCCCCGGGGCCTGGCATGGCGCTGAGCACACAATGTCTGTTCACCTAATTCCTCACTCAGCAACAAGCAGAGCGCTGACTAGCCAGTTCTGTTTGAAACTGCCAGAAGCAAAGTTTTGCCCCACACGAGAGCAGGGCCTGGGGAGGAACAGTGGCCGGGCACGACATGGAGGTATCTGGCTCCCCCTGACTGGAGGTCTTCATCCCAGAGGACAGTCAATGGGCAAGGCCAATGGTATAATATAACTGAGGAGTGTCTGAGATGGGAATGGCTGAATACCGGAATCTAGAGGCCCTTCGATATTCTCACACTCTGATGAGGAGTAGAGTCCACGAGGGAAATGGCCACATTACTGTCCTCAAACCCTGTACTGCGACGTCACTCAGAGTGAGCAGACACTGGCCCAGGAGTCAGAAACCCAAGCCAAAGTGCCAGCTCAGTTGTCACAGGTTCCACACCTGTAAACAGAGTGAAGTCAACTGCCCCACGCGACTCCCACCAGGCTGAACTGTGATGACCTGCAAGGGCAGCTGAGAAACGCCGCAGCTGCGCGCGGCCGTCCAGCACGCGGCTGCCCGGTGCTCGGGAGAGGCCTCTGCTCCGAAGCCGCAGGCCTACCAGACCCCGAGAAGAAGCTTCCAGGCAGAGCACTCTGAAGACTCCCAGAAGCCCTGGAGCTTCCCGGCCTGTTCAGTTAGGCCCGTTGCCTCTAGGACCTAAGACGGGCTTGTGACAGGGAGAGAATGGGGGGATGGGAGGGGGTGCAACGCG